CGAGCCGGTCTCCCCCCACCCGGGGGTCGGGGCGGGGAAGCCGCGGCCGAGCTCGTGTGGCCTTCCGCTGCGCCCTTCCCCGCCGCGCCCCGGCTCCGTGGCAGTTGTTGCCCGCCGAGCGCTCCTTGCGCGCTCCCAAGTCGTGTGGGCTCCGAGCCGGCCGGCCGGGACCTGTTATTATTATTATTATTGTTATTCTTTTTTCCGGAGAGAGCACCGTCCCTTAACGCGGTGGGCGAGTGGGGTCCCCGTATCTCATACCACCCCTTGAGTTTGGACCGAAACCTGTTTGCTTAATTCAAGGGAACGGGGGATTTACACCTTTATCCCCGCTGCTGCTGCTGCTGTCTAGGCCGGGAAGTCGCCCCTCAGGCGGGTCTTAGAGACCTCTCCTTGCCACGCTCCCCTCTCCCCTTCCCAGGCAGCCCCGGTGGGGGACAACCCAGCTGCTCCGTTCTCCCAGACGTTGCGTTTTGGAAGGAGCGTCATTCTGTTTTTGCCTCCCATTCTCGGAGTTAGGCTTACCAACGCTCCGTGGCAGCACCGCCTGTCCGTTTGTTTTCCTTTGGCACACGGCATGGAATTAGGGGAGGTCAGTTGTAAGATGGTGTGCCAGCACCGTAGTTTTAGTATTTGTTCGGAAACTTGTCAAGTTTGGCCCACAACAACCTTCCAGTGTTGTTCGTACGCATAGTTCCCAGTTCCGATCGGAACTTTGCTCGGTGATTCCATCATCCACTGTTTTCTGCCCCTAGACTTGGAAGTCCTTTTCATTCAGTAGACTTTTACCGAGGGTTAGGCTCTTTCCCCAGCTCTTTTTAGGACTGTACGGACGGACCAGAGGTTGATTGGGGGGTTGATTTTCATTTGAAAAATCAAAACTGTGATTTAAGTTTTTTTTTTTTTATAACTTTTACAGGTGATTGAATTATGCAGATATGAAGATCATCTTCTAGGTTTTTAAAAAAGGCCTCGGATATTTCAAGTGGCCATTTTGGAATTACAGTTCTGTTTTTTTTTCTTTTTTTGGGTAATTTTGCCCCAGAAGTTTATTAAAATTGACAAGAATCATCTCTGAAGTGAATTGATAGTAGTAAGCCAATTCAACGAGCTGCTAAAAGACCCAGTCATTTCTTCAGTATTTTGGTTCAAACGGATTATATAAGTGGTTAAAGTATTTCGTCTGGTGTTATTTTCGTCTCTTCCCCCTCTCCTGTTGGTGTTCTTCAGCCAAAACTGTAAGATATGTTTGATTTGTGTACTGAGTAGTTTCAAATTACTGTTTAAATATTGCTGAAGTTTCGTGGCAGTTCTTTTTACCTTTATTGAAAGTTTTAGTAATTTTTGACTTCGGCTCTTTTCCTATTACAATGGGACAGCTTTTCTAAATGAAGACATTGAAAGAATACAGAGTTTTTTTCCCTTTTCCCGTTTCTTTACTTGGGAGAGTAAGATGTTCCGGTGTCACACCAGCATGGTAGGATTGAGATAGCCATTTGTCTCTGTGTATGCTGATGTGTAGAAGTAAGCTTCAGATGTGAAGTTTTCTTTTTCTGCTTTCTGCACATAAATTGGATATTTCATCTGGAGTGGATAAGTACAACAGTGACAAATACATGGAATAATAAAGAAGACCTTGCTCTTGAATCCAAGGAACTTGGCTAATTCTGGATAGAGCCATATGAAAACTTCAAAACAAATATGGGTAGCTGACTTCAAATAACTCTATGTCAAATAGTCGTAGGTTAAGTATCTTCAAAGAACTTGGATATTTCAGAGGATACAAAATAAAAAAACAAACTGGAAAACATAAAGCTTATAGAGAAAAAACCAGCACCTTCCTGTGCAGTCCTCTTGGAATTTGTAAGTACTCTATGGTGAGCAAATTAGATATTCATTTGTAATCTGTAATATGAGTCAAATTGATCCAGTGTTATTCTTGGAAACCTTTCAGTTTCTTGAAAAAATTTTGCTTTTGATTCAGTTTCTGGATAGTCTGAAAATAGTCATTAGCCATGTAGTAAATTGAAGTGGAGAAAATTTTAAGGCTTACAAGTGTTTCAAACTTATTACAGTCTTAAGTTTAAAGTTTTTGTGTTTTTAAGGTTAAAAATATCTTGTCAGTATTCACTTTAGACTATGAATAACAGAATAGTAGAAACCTAGAAGAAAATCCTACACATTTCACATATCTGGTTGGTTTTCCATTTTAAATGTCTTGTGTCTTGATTGCTGGTTTACTTTCTAAATGAGTTTAGACAGCGTTACTACACATAGTTTAGTGATCTAGCTTAGAGTAAGGCAGTTGTAAAACAAAATAATGCTGCATGTTTGGTTTTAAATCTGGCATCTTATGAAATAGTACAAGTATTCCTAATATTTTAACTCATTACAGACATTAAGTTTTTTTTTTTTTTTTTTTTTTTTTTTTTTGGTTTTTCAAGACAGGGTTTCTCTGTGTAGCTTTGCACCTTTCCTGGAACTCACTTGGTAGCCCAGGCTGGCCTTGAACTCACAGAGATCTGCCTGGCTCTGCCTCCCGAGTGCTGGGATTAAAGGCGTGCGCCACCACCGCCTGGTGTGTTTCATACTCTTAAGTTTCCTAAACTTTGCTGGGAAAGAAGCAGAGGAACTGAGCAAATGGACTTCAAAACCTTTAAACTAGCATACTGATTACATACTCCCTCCCCCAGAAGGGTGCTGGCTTAAGTTCAGAGATAGTTTTTTTAAAGTTGTGGATATTAATTGGTCTACTTGAAAGACTTTTAACAAATGTAAAACTTTTTAGTGATAACTGAATGATTTTTATTTATTTATTTTTGGTGTTCTCGAGACAGGGTTTCTCTGTGTAGCTTGGAGCGGTGTCCTGGAACTCACTGTGTAGCCCAGGCTGCCCTCGAACTCACAGAGATCCACCTGCCTCTGCCTCACAAGTGCTGGGGATTAAAGATGTACACTGAGATTAAAGGAGTTGGGGCATTCCGGAGTGTTTTTAAAAAAAATTCGGGGGTTGGGGATTTAGCTCAGTGGTAGAGAGCTCTTGCCTAGCAAGTACAAGGCCCTGGGTTCAGTCCTCAGCTGGGGGGGGGGGGGACGGGGACTGAAAAAAAATTCACTTGGGTGTATTTTCACACAATTAGTAGATAGGTTAAAATGACTATATTTGGTTTATCTCATCTAATACCTGTTCTAGAAGATTGTAATTTTTCAATACTATTCCAAATATTTACTAACTAGTAAATTGTTAATTTATTTCTAAGCAGTTTTTCCCCCTTGCTAACCTGTTGAGTTCTGTTAGTTCCTTTAAAGCAAAAGAAGCAATAGTCTAGCCATCCGGTGGAGGTGCATGCCCTTAATCCCAGTGCTGGAGACAGGAACGTGGCTAGCCTGATGATCTACAGAACTAGTTCTAGAACAGCCAAGGCTATGCAGAGAAACCCTGTGCCAAAAAAAAACAAAAGAAAAGAAAAACAACAACAACCAGTAGTCTAAATGAATGTTGGTATTTAGATATTCATGCTTAACATTTATTTTTCTGCTCTGAAGTTGGGATTACAATTCAATTCCCTATGTTCTAACAGAGTGGATTATATGTGTTTTCTGTGTTAGAAGATCTTCAGTAATTCTTTAAAAAAAAAAAACAAAAACAAAACACGTTGGTTCTCCTGACTTAAATCTCAGTGCTGAAATTCATCTGTGTGCTACCACACCAGGCCTTTTCTGAAGTTTTTTTTAATAAATTGATGAGAACGTTCATCTATCACTTGGGATTCAAGAGCTTGTATTCCATGCATTCCTATTTTAATTGGCTTTTGAGATTTTTTTGTATGAAAGTATGTATCTTTAATGTGAATAAGAAATTGAACTTGGTCTGTCCTGGTGTTGTAAGCCTTTTTTATCCCAGCATTCAGGAGTCAGAGGTGGGTCTGGTGTACATCATGGGTTTCAGACCAGTCAAAAAAGTACTAGACACTGGGTGGGGACAAAACAAACAAAAATCGCTCCACAGAAATCACCTGACCTTAATTCATAGCAAATAACCACATTTGTTTCCTTGTGATTTTGAAATTTCCAGTATTTTCACGCAATGATATCAGGGTAAATTACTTAAGAAACCAGCTTTGTACACTTGCCTTGTTGATAGTCTATTGTGAACTTTGTCTACAACAATTGGTCAACAACTGATGTGCTTTGGCTAGGCTTGGTGGTGCACCCCTTTAATCTCAGCAGAGACAGGTGATCTCTTTTGAGTTCAAGGCCACCCTTGTCTACAGAGCTGAGTTCCAGGACAGCAAGGACTACACAGAGAAACCTAGTCTTGAAAAAGGAAAACAGAAATCCTAAAACAAAACCAACAAAAAACCCAGATGTATATACTTCAAAAATATTTCTGTAAAGTGTGTGTCAGTGCCTGTCATGGCCAGAAGAGGGTGTCAGATACCCCTGGAATTGGAGTCATATTGCAGGCAGTTGTGAGCTGCTCTAAAATGGGTGCTGCAAACCAGATTGAGGTCCTCTGGAAGAGCAGCCAGTGCTCTCAATCTCTGAATTTTGGTTCTAAGACAGCTTCTCATGTAGTCCAGGGTGGCTTCAAAGCCAAAAATGACCTTAGACTTCTGATCACTTGCCCCTGCCTCTTCCAGGGTAGCAATTGCTGACATGCCCCTCTACTCCCACTTGTTTGAACCTATGGCTTTGTGCAAACTAAAGCAAACATTCTACAGCTCCACTCTATCTGGTTATTTTGACAGTTTTCCAATGTTTACTTTCTGGAAATTGAACTGTATAGTATCACTAGTTAGTAATGGTAGGACTGATTCTCCCCCACCCTATTCTTCCAGTTTCTTTTACTTATGTTCTAAATGAGGTGTTTTAATGATTACAGTTAGATTATGGTGTCATATGTTTTGCTGCATACTTTTACATGATAATCCTGTTTGGTTTTTTTTTTTTTTTTTTTTTTTAAGGGAGATAGGGTCTCTCTGTGTAGTTTTGGTTCCTGTTCTGGATCTCTATCTGTAGACCAGGCTGGCCTCGAACTCACAGAGATCCGCCTGGCTCTGCTTCCTGAGTGCTGGCTTACTCATGTTCTAAATGAGGTGTTTTAATACTTACAGTTAGATTATGGTGTCATGTGTTTTGCTGTATACTTTTGCATGATAATGATAATCCTTTTTTTTTTTTTTTTTTTTAAAGACAGGGTTTCTCTGTGTAGCCTTGGCTGTCCTGGAACTTACTCTGTACAGGCCAGGTTGGCCTCACAGAACTCATAGGAATCCACCTGCCTCTGCCTCCCGAGTGCTGGAAATGAAATCCATTCTTTTTTTTTTGGTTTTTTTGAGACAGGGTTTCTCTGTGTAGCTTTGAGCCTTTCCTGGAGCTCACTTGGTAGCCCAGGCTGGCCTTGAACTCACAGAGATCCGCCTGGCTCTGCCTCCCGAGTGCTGGGATTAAAGGCGTGCGCCACCACCACCCGGCGAGAAATCCATTCTTAATACTATGAGAAAGTAGTATAATTGTAGAGGAGTAAGTAAGGAAATTAATATTTAGGAAAGTTGAGGCTGGAACAGAGTTGCTCACTGAGTATTAGATTCCAAGTGATCTCCCCCCTCTCCCCCCCACAATAAGCATATGGCTTATGGTTTTCACTGATCTTTCAGTTAGCATAGTAAATGAATTAGAAGGAAAGATTTTCTTTTCTTTTTTTTTTTTTTTTGTGATATATATTTTTATTTTACAATACCATTCAGTTCTACATATCAGCCATGGGTTCCCCTATTCTCCCCCCTCCCACGTCCTCCCCTTACCCCCAGCCCACCCTCCATTCCCTCCTCCTCCAGGACAAGTCCTCCCCCGAGGACTGTGATCAACTTGGTAGACTCAGTCCAGGGAGGTCCAGTCCCTTCCTCCCAGACTAAGCCAAGTGTCCCTGCATAAGTTCCTGGTTTCAAACAGCCAACTCATGGAATGAGCACAGGACTTGGTCCCACTGCCTAGATGCCTCCCAAACTGATCAAGCCAATCAACTGTCTCACCTATTCAGAGGGCCTGATCCAGCTGGGAGCCCCGCAGCCTTTGGTTCATAGTTCATGTGTTTCCATTCATTTGGCTATTTTTTTTTTTTCGATAATTGAGTAAAACTGAAATTTATTATATGCCACAGTCGTCCTAGGGACCTCCATGCTATATATATAGCCTCTATGGTTCTATGAGTTGTGGTCTGATTGTTCTTTATTTTATATCTAGAATCCACCAATGAGTGAGTACATACCATAACTGTCTTTCTGGGTTTGGGTTACCTCACTCAGGATGATTTTTTCTAGTTCCATCCATTTGCCTGCAAATTTCATGCTTTCATTGTTTTTCTCTGCTGAGTAGTACTCCATTGTGTATATGTACCACATTTTTTTCATCCATTCTTCCGTTGATGGGCATCTAGGTTGTTTCCAGGTTCTGGCTATTACAAATAGTGCTGCTATGAACATAGCTGAGCATGTATCTTTATGGTATGTATCAGCATTCTTTGGGTATATGCCCAAGAGTGGGATGGCTGGGTCTTGAGGTAGTTCGATTCCTAATTTTCTGAGAAACCGCCATACTGATTTCCACAGTGGTTGTACAAGTTTACATTCCCACCAACAGTGGAGGAGTGTTCCCTTTGCTCCACATCCTCTCCAACATTGGTTGTCATTGGTGTTTTTGATCTTAGCCATTCTAACAGGTGTATAATAAGCTTATGGCTTATGGTTTTCACTGATCTTTCAGTTAGCATAGTAAATGAATTAGAAGGAAAGATTTTATTTTATTTTCTATATGTATGAGTTTTGCATGTATATTTGTATGTACACTGTGTTTGTGCCTGATAAGAAGAGGGTAT